TATCGGAATGACTGTGGAGGTTTTCCATATTGTTGGTATTTCTCCCGACTCCCAAACCATTTGCAGATAAGATGTGAGCGATAAGATGTGTATTGGCGTGGAGACTAGCAGAGTGAAGCAGAGAAAAGGACAGGGGTTGCTGGGCAAGTTGTTTCTGAAGAGCAGCGTTTTCAACGCGAAGTTCTTGTACTAACATACAGAGTGAAGGCAGCTACAGTGTGATAGTACTTAACATGGTTTTCTGATTAGGTGTGGTCATGTAGTTGTAAGCGCTGTATTATGTGTAGGAGCAGGTTGGGAGGCAATGCTAGCCCAGCTTACCGTAGAGGTGGCGAGGGTAAGACCGGGTTGCCGCTGCTGAAGGGGGGACCATCTGAAGCCTCGGGTGCCGCAGATCCTAATAGGAGCTCCTGGGGCTGATTCTTGCGCCGCTGGTTTGATCGGCTGCGTCAGCCACGACGCTTCGAGGTTGGTCTGAGACTGCGGCAGCGGGTGTCGCTAGGCTTCACCTCCTGGTGTTCCCGATGACCATCTTGCATGGAAATTGTGGTTGAGAGGTCCTGTTGTTGCTGGAGCTTAGCTTTTTCTTGGCGACAATGAATGAGAAGGCGAGCTGTCTGGTAGCGTTGACAGGTTTTGTCACCTGTCTGGTGGGCTTAGCCGCACAGAAGACACTTAAGGGTACATGGATGAGCAGTAGTAGGGTTGGCTGTGCCACACAGCGTACAGATTATGGCATTTGGTTTGGGGCAGACATCCGAACAGTAGCCGACTGCCCCACATTTGTCGCAGACTTCAGTGCGCTTCTTATGTAGGTAACATTTGTATTCGGCGCCTCGGTAGTAGACCTGGAAAGGGACTTGGTCACCATCAAATGCAATGAGTACCGTGTTTGTCTTTCACATTGGGCGAGCTTGTAGTATCGTGGGGTCGCGCTCAATAACAAGACTTGCTGAGATGTCTTCAGGAGAGTCGTAGGGGGGAATATTGTGGATCACTCCTTTTGCTGTGCTCTCAGGGGAAGTAACGTTGGCTGGAACGTCATAGGTTTCAGTTTCCACCTGTAATTTGGAGATCAGACTGTAGATTTCTGCTTTGGATAGATGAGGTGTGCTTACTACGATGAGATTAGCTTTAACACATGTGCGGTAATTGTCCTCTTTGAGTAGCGTTGCATGCAGATCCACTTCGCGCATAATAGAATCACGCAGTTGTGCTTCTCCCACTTTGGAGAAGTTGAGGTTGTCCCTCAGGCAAATCACAACTTTGATGTGATCATCTGGCAGACGCGGTTGCCTGGGTTTGCGAGGGAGATGCTGGGCAGATCCATTCAGCATTGGGGTATTGGACAGGCTTCCCTGGCCAGTTGGCGATGCTGGAGCATTCGATGCGTGCTTGCGTTGCTTGTTTCGGTGGCTAGAGATCCATCCGGCTTCGAGGGTAGCGTCTTCAGGGGTGATCTCAGTTCCTTCGACTGTGACCACTTCCATGGTTGACACTGCTGCGATTTCTAAAGGTAGGGCTCAACGTGGGCGAGCCAGATGGAGTTGGGTGGCACCGGCGTCGCGGCGAGGAGCAGCTGTTGTGGCAGCCGCCTATCACTGTGTGAACTATAGAACTATATAGCCGCCATTACTGTGTGAACTATAGAAATCGATCAATCGATCGATTTCTATAGTTCACACAGTGAGGGGAATTTAACACAGGTATGCATGAAAATAAAAAGCCTTTTTTTTTCAGTTGATTATGCTATACTTAACTGTTAACTCAATTATGTCACGTGCTAAAGCTAAATCTCAAGTGGAACATCTGCATGAGGTGTCCTTCCTAGCATGAACACTAGAAAAGTACACTCTCTTGACCCCCCCCCCCCCCTTACCTCACCCATGATTTACGCCAACTATACTGCTTGTATACTAGTCTACGGCATGTTTATTAATGAATATGAATATTTATTAGATGCTCAAGGGACGGTCTAGACTTCAGGAGTCGTTAAAACACATGCATCTGCTCCAAAAACACCAATAGCAACTTTGAGCTATAGCATTTTTTTCTGCTCCGAATACACTTGGAGTCTGCTCGAAAGCACCATTTTTTCTGCTCTAGAATCTGCTCCGAAAAGCAAAATGTCGCTCCCTTCACTGCGTTACGTGTCCACGCGTGCACGGGTGATCGCACTGAAAAGGCTCCGCATTCCAAAGGGGAAAAAAAGAAAACAAGTGCTCAAGGTCACGAGGCACTCCCGATGTTTTTCTGTGGCCCTGACATCCCTGCTTAGCTTCCAGCACTTTCGTCGGGACGAGAGAAGAGAAAATGCAATTGCAGCATGCGACAAACCTTTGTAACTCCACTCGCACTGGACGGACTCTTAAAATTTTTGCGGCTTTGAATTTGTGAGGCAATAAGTTCTTCCAGAGAATTCATCACATGGTTACTTGAAAAAGTGTTTCAGGGCCTCTTTAAGTATGCCTAAATACGTGACGTAAGCAGCGAGAGTACATTGTCAGAAGCATCCCATCACTCCTGTTCAGTGTATGTACAGTCTTCTGTATCTGGATTCCAAGTGCAGGTATGATGCAAGCATTCTTTTAAATGCGGAGCACTTCATATTCACACCTACTCGCAAATCCAGCATTGGTAGTGTCTACACCCATGCTGCGCATGCTAGCTCTCGCGTCTCATGCCGCATGCTCGTGCCAACTGTCACTCCCTCTCCACCCTCTTCCTTGCCTCGCAAGACCGACGCTGGCAGCATATGCTAGTAGAAACCGGTTGCTCGCGCTGCACAATTGTTCATTGGCCACTCTATATATGTCGGCACTGGATTGAGCGTTCGTAATTCAGTCAAGGGCGTCTTTACTTAGCTTTCGCTTAGCTTGTTGCTTTTCTTAACTCAAGTAGATGCGATGGAAGCAACAGTACCACAGCGCTGGATAAAAAACAAGGTTTTTTTTATCCAGTGGCCAATACGGTATCTTCAACCAGTAGTGGGGCACAACCCAACATCAGTGTTCCACCACTCGTTGAAAGCAACGCTTCTCCTTCATTCAATAAATACAAAATATAAAAAATGAAATATCAATTAAGCATTCCCAAGTTATACCCAATTGCGCAACATTCATGCTATACCCCCACCACTTTGTGACGCATTTACTTAAGTCCCCCGCTCTTTGGGAAGATGCGTGTTTTTTCTTTGTCCAGAACACACGTGTTTGACCAGTCTATTTGGTGGTTTGTAGATTCCACGTGTTCAACGAGGGCAGTTGAGACCACGCAATGTTTCGTTTCACCATATTTGTGTTTAACTCGTTCCTTGAAATCGCCAGTTAACGAGGGCAGTTGAGGCCACGCAATGTTTCGTTTCACCATATTTGTGTTTAACTCTTTTCTTGAAATCGCCAGTTTCACTGACTTACTGGTTGTCACAATTATGGTGGCCTCTGGCATAAACAAGAGCTAGGAAATCTCTGCTCGGCAACTTGTCTTTCACGTTGGCTAAAGCATTTTTTAGCTACCATGTTGGTGCGTGCATTATTTTGATATGTGTTGCTTCTACATATCACACAGCTTATCTGACTTTCGAACACAAACATTTCTCACATCTGTAAATTTATGCATGTTTGTCTAGGCAACGATTTCGGCTCGGCTTGAAGGCAGACCGGATCGTCTAGGATAGAACTGCCATCACCAGAAGCTTGCAGGGCTACTCATGCTTTTTATTATTATTATTATTATTATTATTATTATTATTATTATTATTATTATTATTATTATTATTAGTGGGGATGAAACAGCATCATCTTCAGCTACACACCTATTGCTGGTGGCTCGTGTTTGAAAGGTAGCACTTGTGTAACTTTGGCTGAATTTCTAATTTCAGTTTGGCAAAATTGTGTAAATAAATCGGCAATTATTTTTTAGCGTGACGTCACAACCACAGAAGAGTATGTAAATCAAGATGTGTTGACATTCATGATTCATCTGTGGAATCAAGGAAGCTGTTGCACATAGATTCCTTCTTGCCACCACATATTAAACTTCGGCACTTCAAACGGTGTTCCCAGCTTTCATTGCAGTCGTCCGATGACTTCCGTTGCAATTCAAGTGTCAGAGCCCGGAGACACAAAATACAAACATGCATGTGCTCGTCGTAAAAAGAAAGAAAATTTTGCACTACGGCTCTGTTCCTGCAAAATTGTCGTTACTCTTCAAGGCAAGGTACACAGAATATGAGAGTAGTTTTTCTTTTTCTTTTTTTTTGCTAAAAAGTATATTTTAGAGGGGCGCAAATTAGGCGGGGACGTAAATCAATAGTAAATGCAGCAATCCAGGTCGAATTAGATCTGAACCAATCCATATCCTAAGCGGCTTGGGTTAGACCCATTAAAGTAAACTAGATCATACTCCAATGGCAGAACCGGCCAGGCTCCCATGTCCTTATTTTACACGGATGCCGAGAGATGGTACCACTTCTGCATTTCCTAGCAGCATTGACTGCGATGTCGGACTATCACAGGCTCCTTCAAACTTTCATCCGTGGTTACTTTTAACTGGTGTGTTAGCTTCATGGCTCTTCCGAACATCAAACAGTTGAAATGCTCACTGCCTGGATCAGGGGTTTTATATTGGCCAGATATACATATTTTTTCACATTTACTGTACGTACCCAGTACAAAGTCTGGGAAATTAGCAATATCAAATTGGTAGACACCCAGCTACAGGCACTATAATAACACTGTAAAAGCCCACGTAAACCTTTAATTTATGCTCATATATCAAAAGTGGCATGATAAAATACATTAAACAAAATAGGCTTTTACCTAAAATCCAGTTTGTAGTCGTCATAGAATGCATCGCATATTTTTAAACTCTGGCTAAAGATAGCTGGGGGCACCCTGTGTAAGAATGGAGATCATAAATGTAAAGTTTTTGGTTACTGTGGACCACTGCTTCATGGTTTCCTGACATTTTCTCTTCTACCCCATTTTTTTCTTTCTCAGCATATATTTTCTGCAGACCTATGCTGTTCCCATGGTGCGTGAAAATGGCAAGAAGGGTGAAATGGTTGTTGCAAAAGCGTATGACCCTGCACGTTTCAGAAACCTTCTCATGAAGATAAAACCCGACTGCAAAAAGGTATGTCATATAGTGAATGAATAGACTTTGGGGGTTTTCTCCAAAAAACAAAATTGAACGTCGGTGTAACTAAGTAGTAAAAGTTTAGTTAGCCATGATACAATTTGAGTACACTCGAACCCAGTATATAATAAAGTTCATAGGGATAGTGAAATGGTCATTATATCTACAATTCAAAATATCAAAATATGGCATTCAAAGCTTATTCGAATACTGCATGTTTCCAACAGCAACCTTGAAGACTCAAGCCAGCAAAGCCAGTGCAGTAAAGTTCATTAGTTAGCTGTGTGCATAGTTCATATAGTGGAGCGTGCATGACTAGTGCCTGTCTGCACTAGTTATGCAGGCTTGTAGAGTGTCGTGTGTCATTCTACAATAGAATAATGGGCGAGGTGGCGTTACAGTGTGGTATAGTGGCCATAAAGAAACTGCCCAAGGGGCCCAAGAAAAGCCCCCTTTACTGCTGGTTTCTGTAGTAAAGCGAAATATTGAATACAACTAAAGAAATTTCACCTGTCATGTTTCATTGCTAGGAAGTATTAGATCTATCCTGAGGCACTGCTGTTTACCTATAGCATTATAATAAGTGAAATTTTTAAGGTCTAAGTAACTACCACCATGCAACTCTGAATAACAAAGTTATCATTATATTGACTGACATCAAGCAGCAACTTTTATATGGACTAGCAATGGACTATGGTTGCCAGAATGAGGATTAGGTGACCAGTAAAAGAGTAAGGGATTGTGGGATGCGCCGTCTGCTACAGGCTTCCGGTTCGAAAAGAGTAGGCGATGGCGAACCGGTTTGCTGCAAGCCTCAGATTATTCGGGATACGCGCGCGTGGTCGCCGTTTATCTTCGTCCCGATAAACCATGGTCGGTTGTTCAGCCGCTGGCTGCTTCAACTGGAGCGTGAAAGGCAAACGGTGTGTATTGATTCCCATGGAACGAAGAAAGAAAATCAGGTAGGCCGCGGCTGTGAAGAGAGCCACAGTGACAGGTAGCCTTTGAATACGGAACGCTGAAGCCACAGTGTTCGAAAACCATTTTATCACAGATACATGCGTCTTCCATACTAGAAAAAGCTTACGCATGAATTTGCTGCGAATATTATATTGGGAAATAAGTTGTTGCGCAAACGCCTAGCAAATATATTATGGGAACGCGCGGGTGAACTTGACTTATCCTACGAGATGAGCGCCGGCCATTGCACTCATATATATGACAAAAAACGCAAAGTCTTCACTTAAGAGTAAGTTTACACAAAGTGCTGGACGAGTCTATTTGTGTTATCTTTGTCCAACTGTGTGGCAGGACGGCACCCAAAGGAACAATTGCGTTAAAAAATGCAGGGTTTCGATTATTCGGCGCCGCCTAAGTCTGATTGTATTGTTTTTGTGCCGCCGTGCCGCGCAGCTTGATCAAAATGACCGTTTAAATAAGCATCTCACTTCGACTAAGAAATACATCTCATAGCGCGCTGAAGGCTAGAAAAAAAAAAAAAAGATATCTCAACGCACTCAATAAGTGCTGCGCTTCATGCCGACCCACTGACGATGTCGACCGGCCGAAGCAGCGACCCCGAAATGAACTTTGAGCACACTGCTACAGTCACACCCATTCTCTCAGATCTTTAAAATGGTGATTTTTTTATCAGCAGTAACGTACATAGAATAAAAACTGTTTTCTACATTGACTGATGTGCTGGCCAAACCGACAGTACCCCCGAGCAGCATAAAAGCATCGCAGATCATTTTAGTGTGATAAAAGTTTCCTTTGCCGTTCATAGCTTGTCATAGTCACAATCACGGTTAGCCAAAACAAACAAAAAAAAAAACAACTTGTAAAGCACTGACATTGCACAGAGAGGTTTTTTTTTTTTCAACGAAGCCGTACAAAAATGCGTGCGTGCCGCTGCTTACCCGCGTGATGTGTCGAACCGGAAGCCGCCGTATCCCACAGTTCCCTGCGATTGCCCGTTTTACCGGTCACCTATTGTGGAAAGTAATGGTGGTGACTCCAGTGTCCACATGTGCTGCTTGCTGGGCACCGATGTGATTGAAGGCACGTGCTGGATAAGCTTGAAGAAGGTTATGCCACTCTTCATAGTGTCCCGAAAGAAAAGTTGCAGTAAAAGCTCGTTAATTCGAATTTCACGGGACCGGAAAAACTGTTCGAATGAACCGAATGCCAAATTAACGAATGAACAGGGAAAACAACATTTAAAATCAAGCTGCAGAAACATACCTTTATTTTTGAAGTATTTTGTAATTGTCGTCTGCGTTTTCGCGCAGATTCCGGCTGACGTCACAATTTTTCTTGACTGTTCCAAATGGCCAACAGCACGCAAGCTGTCGTTAGTGTTCAGGCAAACGTCCTCTAATATTAACAGCGCCTCCGAGACTTCCCGTGAGGTGCGATGAGGTCGCGGCTGTATCTCCTCGCATGATTCTTCGTCGGAATCGTGGTCTTCATGGGCGCCCGTGACTTCATTAATAATCTCTTGATCGGTCAGGAGACCACTCGTGGCGACACCATGATCAATCGCGATGTAGTCCTTAAAGGTCACATCTGTGGGAAGGACAGCATCGAAAGTCGGGCAGTCATCGTCGGTGGACTCGGGGAATCGTGGTCTTCATGGGCGCCCGTGACATTAATAATCTCTTGATCGGTCAGGAGACCACTCGTGGCGACACCATGATCAATCGTGATGTAGTCCTGAAAGGTCACATCTGTGGGAAGGACAGCATCGAAAGCCGGGCAGTCATCGTCGGTGGACTCGGCTGACACCTCCTCGATGCCATCGTCAGCTACTGCTGCATGCTCGGGCCTCACAAAACCGCTGTGCCGGAAACAGTTGGCGATGACTTGCGGCGGAGTGTTTTTCCACACGTGGGCGATGATGTGCACTGCGCCGAGTAAGTCCACTTGATACAACTTTCCAGCTTCTGAGCATAAGATCATTCGCTCTAGCAGGTGCTTGCGATACTTCGACTTCTTGTAGTGAATGATACCCTGGTCCATCGACTGAAGAGCAGACGTAGTGTTGGGCAGCAAAAAAATACTTTGATGCTCTTCAGTTCGACTGTACAGTTATGGGCACTGCAGTTGTCAACAACCATAATTATCTTGCGGTCCTTCGACGTGAAGTGCCGGTCCAACTGCTGCAGCCTGCCGCAAAAAATGTCCGATGTCATCCATGCCTTCCTGTTCGCTGTGTACTCGACAGGAAGGCTTTTGACGTTCTTAAAACAATATGGCTTAAGCGCCTTCCCGACGACAAGTAGTGGCGAGCACTCCGTGCCAGTCATATTGGCGGCAAGAAGCACAGTTATCCTTTGCTTGCACTTCTTGCCACCAATGCACGCGTCCCCTTTGAAAGTCACCGTCTTGTCGGGCAGAGCTCTGAAAAATAGAGCAGTTTCATCTGCATTGAACACGTCACGTGGTTCATATGCGGTAATGTGCTCCAGCAGCTTCATTTCTCCACTCGGTGGTCACGCTTTCGTCAACACTGGCCTTTTCGGCGCACACACTCCTGAAGACAAGTTCGTGTCTCTCTCGAAACCTCGCAAACCACCCTTCTGGCGCTTTCAACGATTCAATGTTCGTCATTGCAGCGTACTTCTCACCTTGCACCATGATGAGAGGTCCGCTCAAAGGCAGATGCGCGTTGCGACAGTCAGTAATCCACCCGGGAGCAAAGCTTCTTCGAGCTGGGGATGAGCTGGGGTTCGCAACCGCTTTCTAGAGGCATGAAACTTCTCGCTTGCGAAGGCTTGTCGAATCTGTTGTTCATTTTTCACGTACGTTCCCAACGTGCTCCGCTTCACGTTGTACTTGGTCATAACCTGCTGTCGCGATTCGCCGTTCTTCAGTACTTCCAAAATTTCCACTTTAGTCGCGTCGTTCTTCGCGTTCTTCGTGTCGTAGTTCTGCCGCTTTTTCGGAGTTGCCATCAATGTAGCGCACGATGGTGGTGGCATGCAAATACGGTCACAATGGAAGAAAAAGAGAACTCCGCAAGAAGAGATGGTTCTGACACGACAACACAAGGGAAAATGGCGTCGGAGGCGCTGAGTGGAGAAGAAAGAAGACGCCGACGTTCGGTGACGCTGCGATCGCCCCCACTAGTTGATGATGATGGCGAGGCCACTCAGGTTTCGGTTTCACTCCAGTGGTGCCAGCGCTGCTTTATCACACTTTTGTGTAGCAGCAGCCGTCAGCATTTGTCCGAATTAAGCGGTGTGGAGACGAATGCCGACGAAATAACGAAGGTTTGGTCCCATAGATTAACGTGCACTTTGGCCGGGACCAAAAGAGCCGTCCGAATTATCCGAATTTCTGAATTAACGGGTGTCGAATTAACGAGCTTTTACTGTATCAAGTTTTTGAAGGGAATGACACACTCCAAGATGAACACTAGATGAACACTCCAAGGTAACCATTCACACATTTGGATACCACAGCAAGGTAGTAGCCTCACTACAATTAATGCTGCTGGCTTCTTCTCTTGCAGTGTGCTGCCACAGAGGAAGCACGCCACATTTCTCGCACTTCCTCATCCTAGTTAGTCTTATGAAACCATGTTATTTAGGCCTTGACTTATTTAAAAAATAGTCCTTCAAAACTTAGTACAAAACTTAGTACGTTCCCTTCTGTGTAGTACACAGCTGTCAGATGTTTTTATATGTTGCAGGGGAAGCAAGAGGACGCAGAGGAATTCTTAAGCTTCATGTTGAATGGTTTGCATGATGAAATGGTGTTATTGATGCGTTCTGTCAGCAATGGTCTCAATGGACAATGCAATGGAGAGGCTCAGCCACCGGTTGAGTATGTTGATGACGATGATGAAGGTGCTTGGAAGACTGTCATTCATCGCAATCGACATCAAGTGACACGTTCTGTAAGTAGCTTAAGTTAGCATTGTCAAACTTTTTGTTGTGTGTGCTTGCTGAGCATATGTGCCGGGAAAACTGGTATGTAGGTCAACCACCCGACATCATTTACAAAAATTAAGGGTGGGAAAGGGGGGGAGTACATGGAATGGCTGAAGTATCAGCAGGCGCCTTTACTGGGAAACAAACGTAGTTTCAAATGGGGCTCAAAATGCTATTTAGTTACATGTGTGTTTCATGTACGTTTCACATCGCAGAAAGTTAAAACATAGGCTGAAGCATAATGTTCGTAAAACGTCACAACTGTGTTGACAGCCTTCATTTGGATGCAATTTCAGGTAATCATGATGCAAGCATTTCGACAAATTCTGCAACCTCTATCTCCACCATATCTATACAGTCGAGCCCGCTTATAACGAACCTCAGCGTGACGTGGCATCCGTTCGCTGTGTCCCGAAGTTCGTAGTAAATGAAACACAGATTTTAAAAGAAAGTTGCGAGTGAAAACACACTTTTTTTTTGCCCCAAAAAGTCCGTAATGCATGTGTTTCGAAGAGCAGAAGTGATAAGGGCGTTCTCGAGTTCATTTAAAACGGCAGGGTGCTCGTCCGCCGAGGCTCGTGGCATAAGCTGCGTGAGGCACTGGCTTCAAAGTTTCGTCGCTCTCGCAATCCTATTCCTCCAAATCCCTCTCGCCACGTACTTCATTTACAATGCCCTAATCCGTGCACGGTTTCGCAGTGTCAGCATCATCATCAGCCGTAATTAAACCATCGCAACAGATGTCCCACCAGCTCTCCCAAGTTGGAGTCGACGATGCGCTGCCGCAGTGGTCCTGTTCGGAAGCTTCAGGTTCGGCATTTGGCCCGACGTCGTCGAAGTCGGCTTCGCGAAAACAGTTTCGCGCGCATGTAGCCGTCACTTCTGCCACGAAACATTCACCATCTCCACAGCTGAATATCGGGACGCCCGAAACGGCAAGTTAGCTGCCAAGTGGTCAACAGCTATGAGCAAGCGCTCTTAGCTGTTGCAATTTCACGATGCAATTTCAGGCTCATACATTTATTGCTATACAGGAAACCCAATCTTCAACACTTCGATGCATCTAGAGAACCTAGAAATACGTCGATGCTGCGAGGCGCCCTGGCGTTGGCCAGCAGCATATAGCTGCTGTCAGCTGGCCTCGCGCAGGAGCCATGGTCGAAAAGGCAGCAGGGCTTCTCATCGACGGCCGAGAGCAGAGCACAGCGTCAGTAGGTCAATGCCCCGAGCACCTCTAGTGTCGACGTCGATGGGGCGAAGCCACGACGCGCACTCTTCACGGGCACGCACCGAAGCATCACGCACTTACACACGCACAGAAGCACGCGTGCACACACACACAGCCGACGTCCTTCGTTCCGCTCTCCACGCATAAGCACCAATACTCAAGGTCACAACTTCCTTCGAGGTAGACGAAATAAACACGGAAAAAAAGTAAAACACAGCAAAATGACACTTAATCTCTGGCCAAAAGAAAATAAAACATAAAATACAAGTAACACCTAATATTAGACAAAATAAACTTAAAATGCGCATGAACACTTAAAAAAAAAAAAAGAAACACTGGCAGCAGACTGGGCAGAGTCAACTTCTTTACGAGAAAAGGCCGTAAAGAAGCTAACCTATACTAATGCTAGACAGCAAACTGAGGGCCTTCGGTTGCGAAGAAGTCCGCTATCCGGCGCTAAATCACAAAGGTGACCGCTTCCTCAGATTGTACTGGTGCGGAGTTCGAATGCGGTCCGCCGCTCCGGGTGTGCCCCGTTGCTTGCGCGAAGTGCCGCAGGGCTCTGGCGCGAGCTCGTCAGACCATGATACAAAGGGTTTTACGTCTGTGATATGGGCACGGCTGAGTTTTCCCGTATGGGGATCTTTCAGCAAGTACGCGAGTGCAGTGCAAGCTTTCTCCACTCGGTACGGACCAAGCCACTTGGGAGTGAGTGAGGTTGAGAACCCCTTACTGGCATTTCTAAGAACGTGGTTATGCATCAGGACAAGATCGCCCACCTAAAAAACTAGGTCGCCATGCTTGCGGTCATATTGGGCTTTCTGTTGAGCCCTGGCCAACTCCAAACTTTGCCTTGCTTTGCAGAAAGCTCGACAAAGCATGTCCCAAAGTGTCGATACGTAAGCAGAACAGTCTGCCGGCGTCTCCTCGCCCTTGAGCTGGCATTCAGTGACTGTTACAAGCTGCCACTCTAGCGTCGCCAGCGCGAAGTCGGCGACGGGAATGACAGCAGGTTGGTTCGTTCCGTACGCAAGCAGAGACAGTGAAGAGATCAGAGACGTGGGAAAACAAAACAACTTTACTCTAATGATATTGCAGCACACGGGATCTAATACAACACTTCAATACAACCAGCAAAATACATCGACACTTGATACAACTAAAGAAATATATAAGAGAAACAATAAATCAGCTTACGAAAGAGAACTATTACAAGCTACACAAACTAACAACAATAGAACTACGCAGGAGAAAGTTCCAAGATATAAACAGGTGAAGGCATACGTGTGATGACCGGCAGCGTTGCGTCCCCGACGATCGGAAGCGAGAAGTCGAAGAGAGTGCTGGCACGACTGCGATGTCGGCGGTGTTGCAACGCTGGTGGCTCCGGGAGGCTAGTGCTTGCAGGTGACTTCGAGCAGGTTGAGCTAACTCGAGGCGAAGTCCCGATGTCTACGTTGCAGACGTTAATATCGCGTCACAACTAGACGAACGGCTAAGTTTAGGTGGCCAGCCGATACAGAGCCACTCTAAAAACTTCTAGAAGAGATGCTTGTTGATCTGTTTCTACACCATCTTGGTCAGCGACTAGTCTGCCTAGCAGGGCAAAATCCTGCGCTTAAATCCCCCTCGTGTCTCCTCGCTCTCTTCCTTGGGGACAAGAGACCTCTACCTGGGTCCAATCATGCGCGTTTAATTGAAGGGAAACTCCGCCCCAAAAATATTTTGACCCCACCCTTTTTTAATTGGGAGAGGGCCCTCAACTAGCGAGAGTGACAACCTGTCGGGTTGTTGTCATACGGCTTGGCCACCAGAGCGTTTCCCACGCTTTTCCCCGTGGGAACGGTCAAACGTTTGGCTCTCAGCCGGGGTGTCTCGTAGTCTAATCCTTGTTCGGGGTATACCGCGGCCTTCTGCGACCTTGCAGACGTCGCCACAGTTACAAAAGGATTAACTGTCGGCGGCGACGTTCTAAGGAGAGCACCCGATTTTGCACTTATCGGTTCCCTTTCATGTGCCGCCGTTTCTCACGGTCAGTCAGTGAGTACGGCGCCCGTTAATTGCCGTGACGCGGTGTCGCCGAAAATAGCCGTCCGTGACAGTGACGCTGGTCACCTGATTTGCCAACTCCTTTCCAAAATTTAAAAAGGTGGGTGAGAAACCAGTTGAGCGACTCTCGGATGTTCGAATAGTGAACGCGAGTTCAAATGGTCTGCCCAGTCCCTTTGACTTTCGGCAAAGGCCACCAACATCGGTTTGAGCGTGCGATTCACGCGCTGTGTCAAATTGGACTGGGGATGGTAGGTCGAAGTAGTGCAGTGATCAATTCTGAGAGAACGACACGTGACATCAAACACACCCGAGTGATGAAATATGAAGCATTGTTCGTGATGAGCCTTTCCAGGAAGCCGAACCGGCAAAACACTTCCTGCATCTTCTCAAGCACCGTTCGTGCTGTCACCTTCCGAAGAGGGAACAATTCCACCCATTTCGAAAAGTGGTCAACGACTACCATCAGGTGAATGAACCCCGGCTTACTTCTGGAAAATGGTCCCATTAGATCGCAGGTGGCCACTTGCCTTGGACGCTCACTGACAATCGGTTTCATCAGAGCGGGTGGTTTGCCACCCCTTGATTTCACCATTTGACAGACGCGATTGTCTCGATTCATGCCGATTCATGTCTCGATTGTCTCCGAATGTCTCATCCCGAATGTCTCGATTCATGCCGGGCGAGGTCACAACGCGGCTCAGTTTTGCAAAAACTTTCGAACCACTCAGGTGACCGGTCATGGGTTCGTCGTGAGAGGATCGCAACAATGCGGCTCTGAGACTTTTGGGCATAACCACCTTAAACGGGTCAATGGACTCGTTGTCGGTGGCTATATACTTCAGCAGGAGCCCGTCATGGTCCAGCAAATATGAATCGGCCGGGAACTGGGCGACACACGCTGGTTCGAGCCCCCTATTCGCGCCCTCTGCAGGGCAAGCAGCGTCACGGCGCTCCATCTCTCTGAGACCGTGGCACATTTCGCGACAAAACGGGTCACTTTGCTGGGCCTTCAGAAGCTTTTCTCTGCTCAAAGCGATTCCCATTCTCCCAAAATGGGGGAGTCTGGTATATCGCGCCCACTCAGGACCACAGCAACAACCGCTTGAGTCGGCATCACGGGTTCGCTCTCGGCGTCGTAGCCTTCGCAAAGCTCTCCCGCTCGGCCGTTTCGCGGTGCGCCGCTTATCTGGTTAGCAGCCAAGGTTTGTCTGCGTGGGGACCGCATGGGGAGCCGCTGTTTTGCCCCGACGCTTGCATGTGCAAAGGCACCGCTAGCGGCTGTCGCACCGGGATCAAGGTCCTTGGCAGACAATGGGGCACGAGATAGCGCGTCAGCTACCACATTGTTGCTCCCCTTTCGATACTGCACTGAAAAGTCATAATGCTGTATCAGGAGAGCCCAGCGCGCCAGCCTGCTGGCAAGCTCACGGAGCCGCATCAGCCAGCTGAGCGCACTGTGATCCGTTTGCACCACGAATTTCGTCCCATCAAAATAGACGTCAAACTTCCGTAGTGCAAACACGTTGCCGAGGCACTCCTTTTCGGTCATGGAATAGTTTTTCTCCGCAGAGACCAAGGAGCGGTTGGCAAAGGCCAACGGCTGCAACACGCCAATGTATTCCTGTAGGATAACAGCTCCTAAACCCAGATTCGAAATCCTTTAACTCGGCAGGTGTGTGTGTATGTGTGTTATATATATATATATATTGGTTACGCTGTGATATGCCCCCTGTTAACTGCATCTAATTTCATGAAACCATCAAATAATACTGCCGCCTTGGTTCTTTTTTAGCTCGTTTTAATAGCAGCAGCTGTATATGGCCCGCGGCTCTGGTGCATGCAAAGGTATATTTTTCGTGCCAAAACCATGATATCATTAAGAAGTACACTGTGGTGGGACACGCCAGATTAATTCTGGCCACTTGGGTTTGAGCACCAGTTCTGTTTACATTGAGCATCATCCTGCCATGCACTTGAAATATGCAAAACCAAGACGCCCTCTCTGCAATTCTTACACAAATCTAAACACAGTGTTTCTGCATTTCGCTCCCATAGAAATGTAGCTGGAGTGCACGGGAATCGAACTCGTGACTTCGATCCTAGCATCGCAACACCTCAGCCTGCTAACTTATCAGAAGGTGTTGCTTGCAAGACCTGTACGTATAAACGCTCAGCGCGAACACACAGCATAAATATGTTTACACCGAGTGGCTTTGAGAAGTCTAAAGCCAAAAGCTGTATAGAACACTTGCAGGGCTCATGGTATGGTATTTCAACTGCGGTGTATGAAGCTACCCAGCTTTGCCACTGTCACATTACAAATGGTTGTCTCGGAAAGCCAGTGCGCAATCTCGTTGTGTTTATATTAACGCGATAGCATTAGAAAGCTGGTGTCGCAGAAATTTCACAGTCAGTGTCGGCACCGTGTGTTAAGAGTGAAAATTCGTCCGTGAGCGAAAAATCGAGAAAGAAGCAAATAAAAATAAAGAATAAAACTTTCGGTTCCATTCAGGATGGAACTCGGGCCATTTGAGTGGCAAGCAGGTGTTCTATAAAGCCGCGATGTTACTTGCTGCTGTTTTGGGAAAAAAACACTACATAAATGTCATGTAGTGGAAAAAGTATTCTTAACGTATTTTGTTCGACAGGTGTCACGATGAAAACGAGCCCATTCGGCAATTTGGGAGGCCATCAAAACTATATCAAAAAAGCTCAGGATAGTCTGGATAATGCAGCCATCGCCGTTAAAAACACAGACGAACTTTCAAACGGCTCTGAAGATGGACAACTATGTCTATCGAGCGGAAAACGTATCGTGCCTTTCCAGAGGCGTTGATCAAGTAAACAGCAAACACTAGATGATGTGCTGCCATCTGTGAGGCATTGTGAGACTCTTGATGGCCTCCGAAATGGCAAGCACGTGGCATGTATTGGAGGCCATGCAACTCTTGCTTTAGATCATAAACCTTTATGTACCATTTGTGCAGGCGCGCTGGTATAGTCTACTGTGTGCGCGTGTGTGTGTAACAAAGCGTATCAATAAGTATGCACTTAGCGGTGGAAGAGCGCACTAGGAGCCGGATTTCGCTATCGCGTTCAACTCTTAAAAGCGAAGCTTAAGGGTCCCCCAATTTTTTGCTGCAGCTTCAGTTGACAAATGCACTTCTCTTTCATAAGAGTCCGGCCATCATGTTTCTTTTGGTAATGCTGTGCACGACAAAAAAAATTCTTCAAAGTGACAAGACCACGGAAGTATCAGAAAACTGCCATAGTCCACTCTTTGCGACATTGCTCCATGCACTGCTTGCCTTGGAAATGCTATAACTTCACAGGCGGTAGCAGGTCACAATGCAGCAAGGGTGCGCACCTGCTTTTCAGGATGATGGAAGGAGCGGTGCCCATTGTGTGCAAAATGTGAAATAGAATTCTTAAGTAGAGATGCAGGTCGAAAAACCGAGATTTTTTTTCGAAAAAGTCGAATTTGTGTTTTCTTGCGTTTTGTATTTCTCCAAGCCTTCTCTTTAATATTTTAAAAAATCAAAGCTGAGAATCAGCTAGAAGTTATCGAAAAGTACAATTAAAGAACTCGCGGTGGCTCGTGAAAGTGTGAACTTACCCGATTTTCATGCACGCGGCACTTCGCTCTACGGCATCGCCGGCTCTTGAAATTTCGCGGGCATGTAGGCCTAACCCTCTTCTCTCAGAGCCCACTTCGGCAAAGTGGCATTCACGCTAAAAATACAACAAAAAAATAGTTTTCCCACAGCATTCTAGTGTGGCGACTGGGCCTTTGAAGTCACGTAGTATGATCGGAGCCCTGCCATCGGTTGCGAGCACTCCGCCGCACAGCCGGATGCGAGCGCTTTCTTCGTTCTCCTGCTTTCGCCGAGACATCGACGAACACAATCGCCGGAGTTATTATTTCTGCGCCATGGATGCTGGCGAGAAATGCTACTTTCGTTCACGGAAGTTAGTTACGCGGCACCAGTACGAGGGAAGGCACCACAAACGCAAACAGTGAGCGCCGGCGAGAGGTCCGTCTGCTGCTAGGCCTAGCCGCGGCAGCAGCGACGCACCCGATTTGGATTGTTCGAGCTTTATTCCTACCGTCGATGACTTCATCGGCGCTTCAGAGTGAAAGATAAAGATGTTCGACGACTAAAGCAAGTGTCAGATGAACGCGGGAGCACATTTATTTGTGAGACCGATGCGATGCAGAACCTCGTCAGTGGCGTAGTATGCTCCAACTGCGGGCGGTGCGAGCTGTCTATTTGAGTAATGGCAAGTAGACGATAAGGACTGGCATCGCTTTCGGAACTTTAGCGCCGAAATGACGCATGTGCTGCAACTGTTGTTTCGGCCACGTATGCGTCAAGCCGCGTGTATTAGTCATGCAGTGGAAGCGAGGAGACGTCCGCCAGCAGCAGTGCACGAGACAGCTTCGCTGTGAGCGTGAAGTCGGTGGTCGCACCGCGTGCGATCGGCATCGGACACGAGCAGCTTGTGCGGGTTTCGTGCAATCATTGGTGTTAAAAAACCGGTGCTTCACAATAACTGCCATTAGCAAAAAAAAAAAAAAGTGCATACCGCCGCCGAAACCTCGAATGAGCCCAAGAGCAACGGCCCGTCGCCGCAGTACCGGAAAAAAAAAAAAAAAAATGCTCGCCGGGAGGAGACAACTTGCAGAGGCTGTAAGGGTCCAATATATAGTGCTGGGTTATTCTGAAACTGTCAACTTTTTCGAGATAGCTTTGCTGACATTCTCTGTGAATTTCATTCAGATTGGTTGAAGAGTATATTATTAAACATGTTTTTGAACTTTCAAACCGCTTTTTCTCAGTTCCTTATTTTTTAGCGTTTTTAGAGCTTGTGCACTATAATTTGTACGCTTTACGTAGTCGGATTGCAATGAAACTTGGCGTAGTTAAAGTTGTCCTGAATTCAAATAAACAACTTTCAAAGGTCTCCAGAGCATATTCAGCTGGATTATTTCAGAAGCTTGTTCTTTGAGTATGGTAAAACTCAAATTCAGCATTAGAATTTTTTTCTAGGCCAGCACACAAATGTTACACAATGTTTCTTTGCTTTATTGAATTCTGCAATTTATTAGGAGCAACATTGGCTATTTTTTAGAGCTTCCTTGTGCTTACTATTGTTGCCTAAGCTTGCACAAGAATGCATTGTTTTTACAAATGCATGGTCTGCAAAAAATTAACTAAATGAGCCATGAAAAAAATAAAAGCAGATTTGAAAAGAGGAGCTCCAACTCTATAACTGGTGAAAGTTTCATTGAGCTGTCACAAATATCCGAAGAAAAAGTTTTTTGAGGAGCATCTCCCCTTAAGGAACATGTTTTTCATGCATGCAATGGGAAAACCATGCAAGCACAGCTTGTCCAAGCGACCAGAGCTTTGCCCTCTGTTCGCTAGAACAGTGCTGCGCCAACTTGAGCATGTCTTCCCTATAATAAAGTGCGTCTCCTTCACACACACTATCATCGCAAAAGTAATAATTTGAGATGTGCACAAGTGGAAAATCCCCTGCGTGCACTTCCGCCATGCTTTCAGTGAAAGCTGACAGCTGCTATGTGAGCCCACCTGCGGTTCCAATGGCCACCGTTCTGCGACTTTCGGTGGCACGCCTATGCTACGCACATTATGACTATTGCACATTGTTTTGTATGCGGTTGGGAAATCCCCACACAATTTGCGCACCCTATTTTCGGAGCTCCAAAATCTGGAAAAAAAAGCACGCAAGTTATGTGTGTGAAATTGGCATGTATAAGCCATTTTTGTCTCGCTGGAGTAATGTGCACTAAGCTGTGTCTGTAAACCTGTAATATCATTGCTTTGTTTGTTTAATCTTACAGCAGGCCACTGCCTAGACGGTCTTTGTGAGTGCTGAATGTATGTTTCTCCCCGATTTTTCAGGCAGAGTATTTACCATCTCCATTAATGGACATATTTGGGGGTGAAATGCGCTCCTCTGTGACAGCTGATGGAGAGACATCTGCTTCCCTTCAGCCATTCTTCACTCTGCAGCTGGACATTCAGGTACAGGGGGTGTGTCTTTCAAATGGTTTCCCTCCCTATTTCTTTCTCCCACTCACTTTCAACTTTAGTATAAACCTCGAGTTGTTGTTTGTTAAATAAATTAATTTTAATTTTCAAAATTTGAAGGAATTTTTCCATTCGTGCACAGTTTACATTATGTTTTATGATCGTGTTCAAACATACAGGCGACTCTCATTAATTCAAACTCAAAGGGACCTCTGAATTTTGTTTGAATTTAAAGAAGTTTTAATAATCAGAAGTTATCTGATATACAACTCAAGGTGAGGTGACACCACACATTATGATTAGGCATTAATTTTATCTCATTAAAAATGTTTGGGGGGTGGGTGGCGATCGAAAAAACTTTTTAGTTTGTTGGCTTAGAGTAATAAAATTTGGCAGGCATACTGAAGAGTGTCTTGAATATTTATAAATGTTATTAAACCGAAGTTTCACTGCAATATTTTAAGTAGTTTTCAAGTTACACTATGTTACATAATCTGTTGACATAGTCTGCTAGTGAAAAGCCTAGGATTGTAACAAAACATGCCAGGAAGGTCCAAGTGGTTTTGATCTTTACTCAAAAGAACACTACACAGGATGTCATTATTGAAAATTGTCTATTGCTTTTAGTTTTTTACAAATAACATCCCCATAAGATTCATGTATTACATTAGAGCTTCTCAAGCAGCAATTATCAAATACAAAAAAAAAACAAGCCCTAAGCAATGTAATGGATAACGCCGTCCTGTCAACAACGCTTCAGGGGGAAAAAAAACAGCATCGAGATCTGTCCAGTCTCTGCCACGTTATGCTTTTCACAAGGAACATTAAGTGCCCAAAACGCATTTCAGAGAAAACGGCTTTGGAAGTTTTTATAACACTTCACCTACATCAAAATGCACCAGAACAGTAGCCTTTGACCTCTGCTTCTTCATCTGGTGTGTGTTTGATGATTTTTTTAGCACGCTGGCTGTTCTTTCCTACAGCCCTCTGGGGGCAAACGTCTCCAGGTTTTGCATCCAATGCAGTGCAAATCTCGGTATATGTTTGCAAGCTGCCTGCATAATACTTGGCTACTGTGTCATGCATTGCTGATTCCACAGCGAAGAGGGAGGCATGCTGCTGCTTGGATATCGGTGACCAAATCACCGAGTGGAGGCTCTGAACACCGCATTGAGTCCTGTTGCCACTACATAGAGCCAGCAGTCGAGGGTCTGAAAGGTGTTGATAGATGGGCCGCAGTGCTTCTATAACCTTACTCATTCATCACTGGCCAGAAATCATTTATAGCAGTAGGCTCTTTTCCAATGCTCCCGATTGCCTACACTGATCTAACATTTATATTGACGACTCTTTGCACTTTCTTTTCTCTTTGACGACCAGTGAGAGCTGGCTGTGCCGCAAGAACAGCATATTAGCACCATATCCACGACAAGTCTAAGCCTTGTGTGGACAACAGCGAGGTCTTGCTCATGCCGAATTGGGCAGAGTGTTTTTCCTATCATCGCATTCTGAGCGGCCATCTGAAAAAGCATATATTCTTCTTCTTCTGGCACAGACATCGTTTCATGTTACTGAGACATGGTCAGTGCGAAATTCTGCTCAGTTGCCAACATCGCGCCGAGCGACTCGCGAACTTTTTTCGACTGTGCCTCTGCCGTTTTCGCGGACAGAAGGCTTGGTTGAATATGCGCTCTTGAATCGTACAACACTCACCGAGCAAAGTCTCGTTATTACTCCAGCCATTGACTGCGTCTGCCGACGCGCTTGCCATTTCCGCATCGATCGTTTCATCATTATGCTGAACAGCCTGATCCCGGTTAGGCAAGCGTGTAGCCACACGTTGATACACGATAACATTGATAAGCATGCCTTCTGTTGACGACTCTGACACGCACCTACATCATGCCAACTCTGCATTGTCCGGTGGCTCACGATAGTTTTTTGATGGTTCAGGATCCAGTGTGGCTTCGTTATCACCGACTGACTGCCGACCAGCTGGTGCTTTCGCAAATGCCGTAGAATATGCGATCAGCACTTTCGTTTTCCGAAAGAGAGCACAGTCATGCGTTTACTATGAAACGTGCGATCCATCGCCACAAACTATGTCTAAAACTTTCGAAGAGCCTCCTCGGCACAAAGAGCTGCGACGGTGGTGCGTCCGGCAACTTGCAATTGTTCGAGCAAAAGGCACAGGAGAACTCTACGATCTGGAGGGCTGCGCGGAACTATCGTCTCGTAAATACTTTTTGCACGACAGTTCCGAGGTCAATCGCAAATACTAAGAAGCACACAGAGAACGTTTGCAACGAAATAGTTGGAGCAGACGAGTTGCACGGGCAGCGGCTACACCATGCGCGAGAGATGAGCATGTGAGCGCACGCACCAGCCAATAGCAACCACTCGTTTCCCCCGCCACGAAGGAGCGAGCGCTGCGTCCAATTGTAGCTCCGCATTTGAAAAGCAGGAAAAGCAGGTACCCCACAAGCTACCCAATCGCAAGCCAGTTATGCCTCAAGCACACTGTTGTTCTCGTCACTGATGGCGAGAGGGGGGGGGGAGCAAATTTCTTGAATGAAAAGCAACCAAGATGGCGGCGCTCTATTGAGCGGGGAGAAACTGCATGCGTGCGAAGTTCGGCTATTTTTGACAATTGCACGCTCATGTGCTGCCTCGGCTAGCTAAATAGTTGACTTGAGGTACCTTAAGCGCGAATTCGGCACTGATATTTACAGAGGACGTAGTTTATAGATTATACTGACCTAAGCAGTGGTGGTTGCGGATGCGAGCACTTGACTAATTGCTGTTCCTACGTTCTACAGGTGCCCTTCCTCGACGGACTAGGATACATTCCGATAGTGACTGCAGCACCGCATTCTTGACATAGACCTGCGCCTGCGCGGATCTCCAGTCTACGTATCGGGAAGCGGTGCCCTTCCTTGACGGACTAGGATACTTTCCGATAGTGACTGCAGCACCGCATTCTTGTCGTAGACCTGCGCCTGCGCGGATCTCCGGTCTACGCATCAAAAGCAGTGACCGGTGGCCCGCCCGCACCAAAGCAGTGGTGGTTGCGGATGCGAGCACTTGACTAATTGCTGTTCCTACGTTCTACAGGTGCCCTTCCTCGACGGACTAGGATACATTCCGATAGTGACTGCAGCACCGCATTCTTGACATAGACCTGCGCCTGCGCGGATCTCCAGTCTACGTATCGGGAAGCGGTGCCCTTCCTTGACGGACTAGGATACTTTCCGATAGTGACTGCAGCACCGCATTCTTGTCGTAGACCTGCGCCTGCGCGGATCTCCGGTCTACGCATCAAAAGCAGTGACCGGTGGCCCGCCCGCACCAAAGCAGTGGTGGTTGCGGATGCGAGCACTTGACTAATTGCTGTTCCTACGTTCTACAGGTCAGTTGGTTTTCCTCAAACTTTGGTATTACGTTTTTGTCTTATACCGCAACCACCACCGCTGCTGCTGCTGCTTTTTGTGTTATTGGGACATTCGTGTATTCACGTTATAAGTTTCTTAGCACTGCTGCCAGGCCTGCATTGTTCTGTTCATAGCAATGACGAAGGATTTTGTGAAAGCTCTCGATGATTTCAAGCGTGAAATGAGACTTGAAATGCGCTCTGTTAAAGAAAGTGTGAAGTTTTGTAGCGACACTTGCGATGAAACCAAGGCGATTAACTCCGAACTGAAAGCTTTGAGGCAGGAACTGAGCGTCCTGCTCAAAAGTAACGAAGATCTCAAGAAAGAAAACAAGCAGCTAGCGCAACGAGTTGATGAGCTCGAACAATATAGCCGTTTGAATAATCTAGAGCTTAAGGGCGTGAAGGCAGCAGACAATGCTAATGATGTCATACGAAAACTTGGCGAAGTTATTGACGAACCAGTTTGTGCTGCTGACATTGACACATGTCACAAGATAGCAACACGAGTAACGGGCGAGAGCAACATTATCGTTCGCTTCGTGCGCCGAGACAAGCGACAGGCCGTTCTTGCGAAAGCTAGGAAACGACAGATCACAAATCAAATGCTAGGGCTTCCTGGATCCGATAGGGTGTACGTTAACGAACATTTAACCCGTGCTAATAAGCAACTACTGGGAGCCACAATTGCCCGCAAGAAAGAAATGTCTTGGAAATTCGTTTGGACAAGTGGGGGCAAGATTTTCGCCAGACGGAATGAATCTTCCAATGCCGTCAGGATTGCCGGTGAGAGCGATTTGTGCAAAATATCACAATAGCTGTATTATTTCTCGCTTGAGGAATCATGGCTATGTTCCAAATACCGACTTGTTCTTTATACAACTCTGAATCTTTCAACGCTAAGTTCCATAACCGACGCCAGGAACTGTCTGTTATTCACTTTAACATAAGAAGCCTCAAAAACAAAGGCGACCGCCTCGATCACCTTTTTACCTTACTAACAACAGAATTTGATGTATTAGTATTTTCTGAGACATGGTTGCTCACACATGATGACCGCCTTCATTTCAATAACTACGCTTATAACGGTCTCCTACGTCCCAATGGAAGAGGTGGAGGCCTTGCTATATATGCTAAATGCTGCTACCCGCACTCTGTTCTTGAGGACTACTCAATAATGAGCCCCAGTGTTGAATGTTTAGCGGTATCACTGCCCAAAGTAATTGTCGTAGCAATTTATAGGCCACCGACTGGAAATAAGCGAGAGTTTCTAGATTTCCTTGAAAAAATGCTTGAAAATTTGAATTCTAGCACTCTTCCATTTGTACTCATGGGCGACATTAATATAAATCTATTGCATGACGACCCGTGCACTGCCGATTTCAACGGTGTTATTTCATCTTTCGCATGTTACAATCACATTACTTTGCCTACTAGAATTACTCTTGACACAGCCACCCTTTTAGATGTTTGTGTTACAAACATTGAACCGCGTAATATTGAATCTGGATTACCGAGTTCGGACATTAGCGACCATATTCCAATTTTTTGTTTTATCAACAGA